TAGGATTTGGGTGTTCTCTTGTGTGGAGGTTTGATTCACATGTTCTACTGTGTGGTGGTGTGATTCAGGTGTTCACCTGTGTGGTGGTGGGATTCAGGGTGTTCACCCATGTGGTGGTGTGATCAGGTGCTCACCTGTGTAGATGTTTGATTCAGAGTGTTCACCTGTGTGGAGATGTGATTCAGGGTTCTCCTGTGTGGTGGTGGGATGCAGTGCGTTCACCTGTGTTGAGGTGTGATTCAGGGTGCTCATCTGTGTGGTGGTGTGATTCAGGTGTTCACCTGTGTGGTGGTGTGATTCAGGGTAATCATTTGTGTGGAGTTGTGATTCAGGATGTTCACCTGTGTGGTAGTAGGATGAGGGTGTTCACTTGTGTGGACGTGTGATTCAGGTGTTCTGTGTGGTGTTGTGATCATGTGTTGACCTGTGTGGTGGTGGGATTTAGGTGTTCACCTGTGTGGTGGTGGGATTCATGGTGTTGAGCTGTGTGGTGGTGTGATTCCAGGTAATCACCTGTGTGGAGGTGTGATTCAGGGTGCTCACCTGTTTGGTGGTGTGATTCCAGGTGCTCCCCTGTGTAGTGGTGGGATTCAGGTATTCACCTGTTTGGTGTTGTGATTCAGGGTATTCGCCTGTGTGGAGGTGTGATTCAGGATGTTCACCTGTGTGGTAGTAGGATTTGGATGTTCTCTTGTGTGGAGGTGTGATTCATGTGTTTTACTGTGTGGTGGTGTGATTCAGGTGTTCACCTCTGTGGTGGTGGGATTCAGGGTGTTCACCTGTGTGGTGGTGGGATGCAGGGTATTCACCTGTGTGGTGGTGGGATTCAGGGTGTTCACCTGTGTGGTGTGTGACTCAGGTGCATACCTGTGTAGAGGTTTGATTCGGAGTGTTCACCTGTGTGGAGGTGTGATTCAGGTGTTCATCTGTGTGGTGGTGTGATTCCAGGTGCTCACCTGTGTGGTGGTGTGATTCAGGGTGCTCACCTGTGTGGTGGTGTGATTCAGGGCGTTCACCTGTGTGGTGCTGGGATTCAGGTGTTCACCTGTGTGGTGGTGTGATTCAGGGTATTCACCTGTGTGGAGGTGTGATTCAGGATGTTCACCTGTTTGATAGTAGGATTTGGTTGTTCTCTTGTGTGGAGGTGTGATTCACGTGTTCTACTATGTGGTGGTGGGATTCAGGGTGTTGACCTGTGTGATGGTGGGATTCAGGGTGTTCACCTGTGTGGTGGTGGGATTCAGGGTGTTGACCTGTGTGGTGGTGGGATTCAGGGTGTTGACCTGTGTGGTGGTGAGATTCAAGTGTTCATCTGTGTGGGGTGTGATTCCGGGTGCTCACCTGTGTGGTGGTGGAATTCAGGTGTTCACCTGTGTGGTGGTGTGATTCAGGGTATTCACCTGTGTGGAGGTGTGATTCAGGATGTTCACCTGTGTGGTAGTAGGATTCGGGTATTCTCTTGTGTGGAGGTGTGATTCAGGTATTCTCCTGTGTGGTGGTGTGATTTAGGTGTTTACCTGGGTGGTGGTGTGATTCAGGATGTTTACCTGTGTGGTGGTGTGATGCAGGATGTTCACCTGTGTGGTGGTGGGATTCAGGGTGTTCACCTGTGTGGTCGTGGGATTCAGGATGTTCTCCTGTGTGGTGATGGGATTCAGGTGTTTACCTGTGTGGTGGTGTGATGCAGGATTTTCTCCTGTGTGGTGGTGGGATTCAGGGTGTTCACTTGTGTGGTCGTGGGATTCAGGATGTTCACCTGTGTGGTGGTGGGATTCAGGCTTCACCTATGTGGTGGTGGGATTCAGGGTGTTCACCGGTGTGGTGGTGATATTCCAGGTGGTCATGTGTGGTGGTGTGATTCAGGTGTTCCCCTGTGTGATGGTTTGATTCAGGTGTTCACATGTGTGGTAGTATGATTCAGGTATTCACATGTTTGGTATTGGGATTCAGGGTGTTCACCTGTGTGGTAGTGGGATTCAGGGTAGTCTTGTGTGGTGGTGTGATTCAGGTGTTCACCTGTGTGGTGGTATGGTTCAGGTGTTCACCTGTGTGGAGGTGGGATTCAGGTGTTCACCTGTGTGGTGGTGGGATGCAGGTTGTTCACCTGTGTGGTGGTGGGATTCAGAGTGTTCCCCTGTGTGGTGGTGGGATTCAGGGTTTTAACCTTTGTGGTGGTGAGATTCTGGATGGTCATGTGTGGTGGTGTGATTCAGGTGTTCATCTGTGTGGTGGTGTGATTCAGGTTTTCACCTGTATGGATGTATGTTTCAGGGTGCTCACCTGTGTGGTGGTATGATTCAGGTTTTGACCTGTGTGTTGGTTGAAATCAGGTGTTCACCTATATAGAGGTGGGATTCAGAGTGTTCACCTGTTGGGAGGTGTGATTCAGGTGTTTATCTGGGTGGTGGTGTGATTCCGGGTGTTCACCTATGTGGTGGTGGGATTCAGGTGTTCACCTGTGTGGTGGTTTGATTCAGGGTACTCAACTGTGTGGAGGTGTGATTCAAGATGTTCACCTGTGTGGTGGTAGGATTCGGGTATTCACTTGTGTTGAAGTATTATTCAGAGTGTTCACCTGTGTGGCGGTATGATTCAGGGTGCTCACCTGTGTGGTGGTATGGTTCAGGTTTTGACCTGTGTGTTGGTTGGATTCAGGTTTTCACCTATATAGAGGTGGGATTCAGAGTGTTCTCCTGTGTGGAGTTGTGATTCAGGTGTTCATCTGTGTGGTGGTGTGATTCTGGGTGCTCACCTGTGTGGAGGTGTGATTCAGGGTATTCACCTGTGTGGTAGTATTAGGGTGTTTACTTGTGTGGAGGTGTGATTCAGGTGTTCTGTGTGATGGTGTGATCCTGTGTTTACCTGTGTGGTTCTGGGATTCAGGGTGTTCACCTGTGTGGTGGTGGGATTCAGTGTGTTCACCTGTGTGTTGGTGGGATGCAGGGTGTTCACTTGTGTGGTGGTGGGATGCAGGGTGTTCACTGTGTGGTGGTGGGATTCAGGGTTTTCACCTGTGTGGTGGTTGGATTCAGGGTGTTCACCTGTGTGGTGGTGAGATTCAGGGTAGTCATGTGTAGTGGTGTGATTCAGGTGTTCACCTGTGTGGTGGTGGGATTCATGGTGTTCACCTTTGTGGAGGTGTAATTCAGGGTGCTCACCTGTGTGGTGGTGTGATTCAGGTGTTGACCTGTGTGGTGGTGGGATTCAGGTGTTCACCTGTGTAGAGGTTTGATTCAGAGTGTTCACCTGTGTGGAGGTATGATTGAGGTGTTCATCTATGTGGTGGTGTGATTCCAGGTGCTCACCTGTGTTGTGGTGGGATTCAGGTGTTCACCTGTGTGGTGGTGTGATTCAGGGTATTCACTTGTGTGGAGGTGTGATTCAGGATGTTCACCTGTGTGGTAGTAGGATTAGGGTGTTCACTGGTGTGAAGGTGTGATTCAGGTGTTCTCCTGTGTGGTGGTGTGATTTAGGTGTTCACCTGTGTGGTGGTGGGATGCAAGGTGTTCACCTGTGTGTTGGTGAGATTCTGGATGGTCATGTGTGGTGGTGGGATTCAGGGTGTTCACCTGTGTGGTGGTGGGATTCTGGGTGTTCACCTGTGTGGTTGTGGGATTCAGGGTGTTGACCTGTGTGGTGGTGAGATTCCAGGTGGACATTTGTGGTGGTGGGATTCAGGTGTTCCCCTGAGTGGTGGTTTGATTCAGTTGTTCACCTTGTGGTGGTGTGATTCAGGTATTCATCTGTGTGGTAGTGTGATTCAGGTATTCACGTCTTTGGTGGTGGGATTCAGGGTGTTCACCTGTGTGTTGGTGAGATTCAGGGTGGTCATGTGTGGTGGTGTGATTCAGGTGTTCACCTGTGTGTTGGTGAGATTCAGCTGGTCATGTGTGGTGGTGGGATTCAGGTGTTCACCTGTGTGGTGGTGGGATTCAGGGTGGTCATGTTTGGTGGTGGGATTCAGGTGTTCACCTGTGTGTTGGTGTGATTCAGGTAGTCACCTGTGTGGTAGTGAGATTCAGGTATTCACGTGTTTTGTGGTGGGATTCAGGTGTTCACCTGTGTGGTGGTGAGATTCAGGGTATTCATGTGTGGTGGTGTGATTCAGGTGTTCACCTGTGTGATGGTTTGATTCAGGTGTTCACCTGTGTGGTAGTGTGATTCAGGTATTCACGTGTTTGGTGGTGGGATTCAGGGTGTTTTCCTGTGTAGTGATATATTTTAGGTGTTCACCTGTGTGTGGTGTGATTCACGTGTTGTCCTGTGTGGTGGTGTGATTCAGGGTGTTGTCCCATGTGGTAGTATGATTTAGGTGTTCCCCTGTGTGGAGGTGGGGTCCTTTGTGTTCACCTGTATGGTGGTGTGATTCAGGATGTTCTCCCATGTGGTTGGTGTTGGGATGCACAGTGTTCACGTGTAGTGGTGTGATTCAGGGTTTTCTCCTGTGTGGTGGTGTGATTCATGTGTTCACCTGTGTGGTGGTGTGATTCAGTGTGTTCACTTGTGTGGTGGTGGGGTCATGTGTGTTCACCTGAATGGTGGTGTGATTCAGGTGTTCACCTGTGTGGTGGTGGGATGCAGGGTATTCACCTATGTGGTGGTGTGATTCAGTGTGTTTACCTGTGTGGTGGTGGGGTCCTGTGTGTTCACCTGTATGGTGGTGTGATTCAGATGTTCACCTGTGTGGTGGTGTGATTCAGGTGTTCACCTGTGTGGTGGTGTGATTTAGGTGTTTACCTGTGTGGTGGTGTGATTCAGGTGTTTACCTGTGTGGTCGTGTGATTCAGAGTGTTCACCTATGTGGAGGTGTGATTCAGGTGTTGACCTGTTAGGTGGTGTGATTCAGGATATTCACCTGTGTGATGTGATTCAGGTGTTCACCTGTGTGGTGGTGTGATTTAGGTGTTTACCTGTGTGGTGGTGTGATTCAGGCTGCTCACCTGTCTGGTGCTGGGGTTCTGAGTGTTTGCCTGTGTGTTGCTGGGGTCCGGGGCTTTTACCTGTGGGCCATGAAGGTTGACGTTTCATCACTTGTATGGAAGTTTCCATGATCTCAGCTGCGTGGGAAACAGTCCTGCTAGTTGGCTCAGGCATCTTGGAGAAGGCCAGCAGCTGAGATGGGGAAGTGGCTTCCCTTTTCCTGAGGTTTCTACAGCAGAAGGAGAAGATATGTCTTGTTGTTGATGCTCTGGTAGCTGATTACCCATTAACTGTCTCGGCTGCAGGACTCCAGGACTCCTGGGGCGAGAAAAGGGGGTGTGACTAGTGCATCACTGCTGGGGGTGAAGGAAGTGGCCGGTGTTCTCCCTTTACGAGGCTTCGGCAGCCGCACTCATCTGATTCTCCTTGGAGTTCTCTTATTCTTAGAAATCCAGTCTGTCTCCACCATAGATGGTGAGAATGGGAGAAGGGCTCTGTATCTTTGCCAGTCTCAGCGGCAGCAGCTATGGAGCCGTCAAGTGACCCAGGGGTCATCCTGCTGTGGGTCGGGGGTCAGCCCGCTGCAGCCCCAGATGGCTGGGCACGCCTGCCAGTCCCGCCTCACCGCGGCACCCCTCATCCTGTCATGGGGCACGGGCCCCTCTCTGTCCCCAGCAGCAGCCATGGGGCCGGGCTGAAATGTACGGACTGTGTGTGGTAGGGGAGAGGCAAGCAGAGAGCCGTTGTTGGGCTTTGTCTGTTCTGAGGCTAGGGAGGCTCTGCTTCCTCAGGCGGCCAAGGTCCTGGCCAGGTCCGGGGTGATTTGAGTCTGCTCATCCTTCACTGGGGTCTGCATGGCCCAGGGCGCTCACCCCCACCCCTTCTCCCGTGTGCTCTCCCCGCCCTCCCCCCTTCTCCCAGAGCCGTGTTCTGCCAGCACCCCCACGCTCCCCCTTCCTGCTGAACCTCAGACCTGGCTGCCACCGAGACGCTGGTGCAGGCACAGCCGTCCAGCAGGCACGTGTCCCTCACTGGGATCACATGAAGTCTTTGAGGGATGAGGAGGAGAGGGCAAGCATGGGGAGGGCTGGGAAGCAGCCTGTGTGAGGGCCCGTTTCCCACAGGCTCAGGTGCTCCCGACTGTCTTCTAAGGGTGACACTTGGCGTTGTGAAGTTTGAGTGACAGCCAGCCTTGTCTGACAGACTGCTCTTCCTCTGGATGTCACTCTTGTCCGCTCCCAGGACAGCCGGCCACGTGCTCACGCTGTCCTGACCGAGGGGCTCAGCTGTGGTCCCCTCGGTCCTGTGCTTTGCTCTCTGGGCACAGGCACCAATGGAGAACACTGGCTACTGACTGTATAGGGCAAAGGCCTCTGTGACAGCCTAGGGTTCCAGAATTTGCTGTCAAAGCCCAGAAAGCTAAGTTGCCAGCATGTGGGCAGGGTGGAATCTCAGAACCCCCGGAGAGCTTCGGGGCAGGAAGGCCCAGCCCTGCCATGATCTTTGGGCAGGAAGGCCCGGCCCTCTGCGTGTTGAGGAGTCCCCAGGCAAGGCCAGTCCCCGCGGGAGTGCAGCGAAGGACTTGGCCCTCACTTGGACATCATGACTATTGAGATAAGCGTCTCTTTCCCCTTTTTTGTGGTAAAGTGACTAGATTTGTTTAGAGGCATAAAACATTTTATGGTTAGGAAACACGTTACCCACCAACACGCCAACCCTACCTCTTTCCGACTGCCCCGAGGATCCTTCCCAAACTAGCACAACACCCATGTCATTATTGGCACAAGGAGAGAGAACTTCCAAGGTAGTGGACACAAATTCATCTCTGCATTCCCAACATTTACTCCAGGCCTTCCACACAGTGGGAACAGAATTAAGGAAATAAATATAGTCATAGAGGATATTGCTCAGGAGCTACCAAGAAGCAAGCTTTCCAGATTAATATACGTATGCATCCCCTCCTCACTCCTGAGTGCCGTCTTTAGGACTGGATTGCGTTTACATCTATGGTCTTTCTCTCTTCTCAGGTAATTCCCAACCATTTCAGATACAAAAATACACATCAATTCATGGGGGATATTTTTTCTGTTTCCTTTTGACTTGTTTTTAGATGCAGCACAGTTCTGCAGCTAATGTTGACAGGAGAGTGTTTGCTATCTGGAATAAGAGACATTTGGAAGGAGTCAGCAACTGTCTGATGACAGTTTGCACCTTGAAAAATGACATCCTTTTGCTTAACTTTCAACATAGTGATAAGCTTGTAGAAAATGATCCCTGCTTAGTGATTTTGGTTTCTGTACTTTATTTTCTGAATATGTAATAGGAGGCCATGATACTTACTATTGACATTGGTGCTTGTCATACATTGAAAATTAAGGCTCCTGTTAATTATTATTTAAATTAGTGTTTAAAATGAAAAACTCCCAGTTCACATTTACTGCTCCCCAGTTCTCAGGATTGACCGTTCTCCTCTACAGATCCTTAGTTCTCAGGATTGACCATCCACCTCTAAAGATCCCCAGTTCTCAGGATTGACCATCTACCTCCACAGATGCCCAGTTCTCAGGACTGACCATCTACCTCCACAGATGCCCAGTTCACAGGACTGACCTTTCGCCTCTGCAGATCCCCCAGGTCTCAGGACTGACCATCCACCTCTACAGGTCCCCAGTTCTCAGGACTGACCATTCACCTCTACAGATACCTAGTTCTCAGGACTCACCATCCACCTCTACAGATGCCCAGTTCTCAGGACTCACTGTCCACCTTCACAGATCCTTAGTTCTCAAGACTGACATCCACCTCTACAGATGCCCAGTTCTCAGGACTCACTGTCCACCTGTACAGATCCCCAGTTCTCAGGACTCACCACCCACCTCTAGAGAGTCTTAGTTTTCATGACTGCCCACCTCTATGAATCCCCAGTTCTCAGGACAGACCGTCCATCTCTAAAAGTCCCCATTTCTCAGGACTGAACATCCACCTCTACAGATCCTCAGTTCTCAGGAGACACTTCACCTCCACAGATCCTTAGTTCTCAGGACTGACCATCCACAGCTACAGATTGTTTGTTCTCAGGACTGACTGTCCACCTGTATAGATCACTAGCTCTCAGGACTGACCACCCACCTCTACAGATCCTTAGTTCTCAGGACTGACCATCCACCTCTGCAGATTCCAGTTCTCAGGATTGACAGTTCCACCCCAACAGCTCCTGAGTTCTCGGGAGTGACTGTCCACCTCTACAGATCCCCAGTTCTCAGGACTGACCGTCCACCTCTACAGATCCCCAGTTCTCAGGACTGACTGTCCACCTCTACTGCTCCTCAGTTCTCAGTAGTGACCAATCAACTTTACAGATCCTCAGTTCTCAGGACTGACCATCCACCTCTACAGATCCCCAATTCTTAAGACTGACCATCCACTGCTATAGATCCTCAGTTGTCAGGATTGACTGTCCACTTCCAAAGAGCCATAGTTCTCAGGACTGACCCACTTTACAGGATCCCAGTTCTCAGGACTGACCATCCACCTCTACAAATCCCACCAGGGCTGATCATCCACATCTACAGATCCTCAGTTCTCAGGATTTACTGTCAACCTCCACAGATCCCTAGTTCTCAGGACTGACTGTCCACCTGTACAAATTCCCAGTTCTCAGAAGTGACTGTCCACTTCTACAGCTCCTCAGTTCTCAGGAATAATCATCCATCTTTACAGATCCTCAGTTCTCAGAACTTACTGTCCACCCCTACAGATCCCTAGTTCTCAGGACTGACCGTCCACCTCTACAGATCCCCAGTTCTCACAACTGACCACCCACCCCTACAGCTCCTCAGTTCTCAGGAGTGCCTGTCCTGAGAACTCCCAAGTTCTCATTTCTCAGGACTAACCGTCCACCTCTAGAGATCACAATTCCCAAGACTGACCAACCACCTCTATATATAATCCGTTCTCAGGACTGATCATCCACCTCTACAGATCCCCAGTTCTCAGGACTGATCATCCACCTCTACAGATTCCCCGGACACTCCACCCCTACAGCTCCTCAGTTCTTAGGAATGACTGACCACCTCTACAGATCCTCAGTTCTCAGGACTGAGCGCCCACACTTAAAGCTCCTATATTCTCAGGACTGACAATCCACGTCCTACAGCTCCCCCAGTTCTCAGACCTGACCATCCAACTCTACCAATACTCAGTTCTCAGGACTGCCTGTCTACCTCTACAGATCCCAAGTTTTCAGTATGGAATGCCCACCTCTACACTTCCTTAGTTCTCAGGACTGACAATCGAACTCTACAGATCCCAATTCTCAGGACTGACCATCCACCTGTACAGATCCCCAATTCTCAGGACTGACCGTCCACCTGTACAGATCCCCAATTCTCAGGACTGACCGTCCACCTCCACAGATTATCAGTTTTCATGACTGACTGTCCACCTCAGATCCTTTGTTCTCAGGACTGACCGTCACCTTTACAAATCCTTAGTTCTCAGGACAGTTCACCACTACAGATCCCCAGTTCTCAGGACTGACCATCCACCCCTACAGATTCCTAGTTCTCACAACTGATCATCCACCCCTACACTCATTTATCAGGACTGACTGTCGACCTGTACAGATCCTTAGGTCTCAGGACTGAATAGCCACCTCTACATTCTCAGTTCTCATGACTGACTGTCCACCTCTACAGATCCCCAGTTCTCAGGACTGACCATCCAACTCTATAGCACCTCAGTTCTCAGGACTGACCATCCACCTCTACAGATTCTCAGTTCTTATGACTGACTGTCCACCTCCCCAGATCCTTTGTTCTCAGGACTGACCATCCACCTTTACAAATCCTTAGTTCTCAGGACAGACAGTTTACCACTACAGATCCCCAGTTCTCAGGACTGACCACACACCTCTACAGATTCCTAGTTCACACAACTGACCATCCACCCCTACACTCCTCAGTTCTCAGAACTGACCATCCACCTGTACAGATCCTTATTTCTCAGGACTGACCAGCGACCGCTATACATTCTCAGTTCTCATGACTGACAGTCCACTTCTACAGATCCTCAGTTCTCAGCCTGACCATCTAACTCTACAGCACCCCAGTTCTCACTGACTGTCCACCTCTATAGATTCTCAGTTCTCAGGCCTGACCATCCATCTCTACAGATTCTCAGTTCTCAGACCTGACCACCCACCTCTACAGAGCCCCAGTTCTCAGGACTGACCTTCTACTTCTACAGGTCCCCCGTTCATAAGACTGACTATCCACCTCTATAGATCCTCAGTTGTCAGGACACCCTGTGCACCAGTAGAGATGCCCATTTCTCAGGACTGTCCGTCCACCTCTACAGATTCTCAGTTCTCATGACTGACTGTCCACTCCTCAGATCCCCAGTTCTCAGGACTGACCGTCCACCTCTATAGATCCTCAGTTCTCAGGACTCACTGTCCACCTCTACAGATCCCCAGTTCTCAGGACTGACCATCCACCCCTACACTCCTCAGTTCTCAGAACTGACCATCCACCTATACAGATCCTTATTTCTCAGGACTGACCGGCAACCATGATACATTCTCAGTTCTCATGACTGACAGTCCATCTCTACAGACCCTCAGTTCTCAGCCTGACCATCCAACTCTACAGATCCCGAGTTCTCAGGACTGACCGTCCACCTCCACAGATTATCAGTTTTCATGACTGACTGTCCACCTCCTCAGATCCTTTGTTCTTAGGACTGACCATCCACCTTTACAAATCCTTAGTTCTCAGGACAGACAGTTCACCACTACAGATCCCCAGTACTCAGGACTGACCGTCCACCTCTATAGATCCTCAGTTCTCAGGACTCACAGTCCACCTCTACAGATCCCCAGTTCTCAGGACTGATCATCCACCTGTACAGATCCTTATTTCTCAGGGCTGACTAGTGACCAATATACATTCTCAGTTCTCATGACTGACAGTCCATCTCTACAGATCCTCAGTTCTCAGCCTGACCATCCACCTCTAGAGATTCTCAGTTATCAGACCTGACCATCCAACTCTACAGATCCCAAGTTCTCAGGAATGACCGTCTACCTCTACAGGTCCCCAGTTCTCAGGACTGACCCCCCACCTCCACAGATCGGCAATTTGCAGGATTAACCTTCCACTTCTATAGGTCTCCCGTTTCTCAGAACTTACCCACCAACTCTACAGATCCCCAGTTCTCAGAAGTGACCATCCTCTACACATCCTCAGTTCTTAGGACTGACCACCCACCTCTACAGATTCCCAGTTCTCATGACAGACAGTCCACCCCAACAGCTCCTGAGTTCTCAGGACTGACTGATCACCTCTACAGATCCTCAGTTCTCAGGACAGCCCATCCACTCCTCCAGATACCTAGTTCTCAGGAATGACCACCCACATCTATAGATCCCCAGTTCTCAGGACAGACCTTCCACCTCTACAGGTTCCCAGTTCTCAGGATTTACTCTCTCCCTCCGCAGATCTCCAGTTCTCAGGACTGACCATCCACCTCTAGAGATCCCAATTCTCAGGACTGACCATCCACTTCAACATAACATCAGTTCTCAGGATTGATGGCCAACCCTAGAGATCCCCAGTTCTCAGGACTGACCGTCCACCTCCTCAGCTCCTCAGTTCTCTGGACTAACTGACCACCTCTACAGATACTCATTTCTCAGACTTGACAGTCCACGTCTAGAGGTCCTCAGTTCTCAGACCTGACCATCCACCTCTACAGATCCCTAGTTCTCCGGACTGACTGTCCACTTCTACAGGTCCCTCATTCTCAGGACTGACCATCAACCTCTACAGATCCTCAGTTGTCAGGGCTGACCATCCACCCCTCTAGATGCCCAGCTCTCAGGACTCACTATCCACCTCTACAGATCCTTAGTTCTTAGGACTGACTGTCCATGGATACAGATTGCCAGTCTCAGGACTGACCATCCACCTCCATAGGTCCCCTGTTCTCTGGACTGACTGTCCACCTCTACTGATCCCCAGCTCTCAGGACTGACCATCCACCCCTTCAGATCCCTAGTTCTCAGGGCTGACAGTCCACATTTACAGATTCTCAATTCTCAGGATTGACCGTCCACCTCTACAGATCGCCAGTTCTCAGGACAGCCCACCCACCCGTACCGATCCCCAATTCTCAGGGCTGACTGTCCACCTCTACAGACCCCCAGTTCTCAGGACAGCCCACTCACCTCTACCGATCCCCAGTTCTCAGGATGGACTGTCCACCTCTACAAGTACCCAGTTCTCAGGACTGACCATCCACCTCTACAGCTCCCCAGTTCTCAGGGCTGACCATCCACATCTCCAGATGCCCAGTTCTCAGAACTCACCATCCACCTCTATAGATTCCCAGTTGTCAGGACTGACCTTCCACCTCTACAGCTCCTTAGTTCTCAGGACTGACTGTCTACCTCCACAGATTCTTAGTTCTCAGGACTGACTGTCCACCTCTATAGGTCCTCTGTTCAAAGTACTGACTGTCCACCTTTATAGATCCCCAGTTCTCAGGACAGACCTTCCACCTCTACAGATCCTCAGTTCTCAGGATTTACTGTCCACCTCCACAGATCCTTAGTTCTCAGAATTGCCCATCCACATGTACCGATCCACCTGTTCTTATGACTGACCTTCCAACCCTACAGCTTCTCCAGTTCTCAGGACTGCCCATCAACCTCTAGCGATCCTCAGTTCGTAGGACTCACTGTCCACCTCCACAGATCCTTAGTTCCAAGGGCTGACTGTCCACCTGTACAGATCCCCAGTTTTCAGAACTGACCTCCACCTCTACAGATCCCCAGCTCTCAGGACTCACCATCCACCTCTAAAGATCCTTATTACTCAGGACTGACCGCCCACCTCTGCATTTGTCCAGTTCTCAGGACTGACCATCCATGTCTATAGATCCTCAGTTCTCAGGAATGCTCGTCCACCTCTTGAGATGCCCAGTTTACAAGACTGCCTGTCCACCTCTAGCGATCCTCAGTTCTCAGGACTCACTGTCCACCTCCACAGATCCTTAGTTCTCAGGGCTGACTGTCCAACTCTACAGCTCTTCGTTTCTCAGGACTGACCCTCCACCTCCACAGATCCCCTATTCTCAGGACTGACCATCCACCTCCACAGATCCCCAGTTCTCATGACTGACCCTCCACCTCCACAGATCCCCAGTTCTCAGGACTATCCACTTCTACAGGTCCCACATCTCAGAACTTACCCTCCTCTCCTACACATCCTCAGTTCTCAGGACTGCCTGTCTACCCCTGCAGATTCCTAGTTCTCAAGATTGGACATCCATCTCTACAGATCCCCAGTTCTCAGGACTGACCATCAACCTCTACAGATCCCCAGTTCTTAGGACTGACCTTTAACCTCTACAGGTCCCCAGTTCTTAAGACTGACAGTCTACCTCTAAAGATCCTCAGTTGTCAGGGCTGACTGTCCACCTCTCCAGATCCCTAGTTCTCAGGACTCACTATCCACCTCTATAGATCCTTAGTTCTAAGGACTGACCATCTACCTCTACAGATCCCCAGGGACTGACCATCCACCTTTATAGATCCTCAGTTCTCAGGAGTGCCCATCCACCTCCACAGATGCCCATTTCTGAGGACTGACTGTCCATATCTACAGATCTTAGTTCTGAGGACTGACCGTCCACCTCTACACTTCCCCAGTTCTCAGGACTGACCGTCCACCTCTACAGATCCTCAGATCTCAGGACTGACCATCTACCTTTACAGCTCCTACGTTCTCACAACAGACCATCCACCTCTACAGATCCCCAGTTGTCAGGTCTGATTTCTCTACCACTACAGATGAAATCCTACAGTCTTGGGTCATCAGTGTCCTGTTCTGTTCCAGTCTGTCCAGTCTGTCCACTCTCCAGTCGGGGCTCACTTCTTGGGCGTGGGCATACATTGCTTTATTTTCACAAAGCTGCTCCTGCTTTATTTTCCCAAGGCCATTCTTGAACTGTTCCTTTGTGGACAATGGGCCCTCCCGGTCCTGGACTAGGTGACCCACTGTCCTTTTCAGGAGTCGTTATGGGCGTGTCACAATGACTCGGAGACTCGCATCAGGACCCGTTTCCTCTACTGCACCCACACCGCGGTTCTGGTCAGGAGCCAGCCTCTAGCCTGAGTGCCTTGAATCACCCCTTGGATCACACCTGGATCACACCTTGGGTCAGTCACCAGCTCCCTCTCTTGCTGGGGACAGAATTTAACATCGTCTCTGAGTTTCCTGCACTCATATTGGGGCCAAGGGACGCATGTAACTTCAGTGCGCACTGTGCACAGTGGGGTAACTGGACCATTTTGGGGGTGTTTGTGAAAACTGAAATAGGTGTTGTGTACGCAGAGCCTCGAGGGGCATCTCCACTCCTGTGTGACCTCTTCTCCAGTCACGTGACAGCCCTGTGCACCCCTCCACCGGGGTCACGTGACAGCCCTGTGCCCCCCTCCACTATGGTCACGTGACAGCCCTGTGCCCCCCTCCACTATGGTCATGTGACAGCCCTGTGTACCCTCCACTATGGTCACGTGACAGCCCTGTGCACCCCTCCACTATGGTCACGTGACAGCCCTGTGCACCCCTCCACTATGGTCATGTGACAGCCCTGTGCCCCCCTCCACTATGGTCACGTGACAGCCCTGTGCACCCCTCCACCGGGGTCACGTGACAGCCTCTGTGCACCCCTCCACTATGGTCATGTGACAGCCCTGTGTACCCTCCACTATGGTCACGTGACAGCCCTGTGCCCCCCTCCACTATGGTCACGTGACAGCCCTGTGCCCCCCTCCACTATGGTCACGTGACAGCCCTGTGCACCCCTCCACTATGGTCACGTGACAGCCCTGTGCACCCCTCCACTATGGTCACGTGACAGCCCTGTGCACCCCTCCACCGGGGTCATGTGACAGCCCTGTGCCCTCCCTCCCTCCCTCCTGCCACATCACCTTGTCATCGTGCTGTAGAGGTCATGTTCCACCATGCGTCTGCTTGCTTCCACAACGCTGCTGACATGGAACTTTCCAGTCTTTCCTGTGGAATACCGCACTGCAGAATTCAAACAGACGGCATGCCCCCTGTCCCCCCAGCTCTGTCCCGAGTCCAGCTGTGTTCACGGCCGTGCTCACACAGCCTCTGGGCCTCAGCCTGACGTGGTTGTGCTCAGTGGGCCGTGTCCCCTCCCGGCCGGGAGGACCCCACACGGAGCCACTCGCTGCCACAGGAGGCTGGGGCTGAGCTGGCCGCACTGCTCAGCTGTGCAAACCATGTCCGATGGCTGCTCTTTGTGAACATTTGGTTACCTGTGACCATGATGGACTTCCTAACAATTCGCCTATTTATTCAGTGCATTTAGCAAGACATTCAGACCTATCAAAAGTTTCCAGTGAAATCACCCTCATCACATTTTACTTTTTCAGCACTGGAAGAGCATAACCGACCAAGATTCCTTCACTGAAGGAGAGCCTGAGACCCAAGGGGCCAGCAGGGCGGGGTGGTGCTCTGTGCACGGCTCTCTGGTCACTGAGCACGGCCTGCCTCCTGGAGCCCTCCCGCATCTTCTGACCTGCTGAAGACGCCGTCCTGATGGGCCACTCACCCCCATGCGTCCCTCCTTGTCCCCATGAGCATCTGAACACACCCAGCAGACACAATGCAAGCAAACACAATGCTTCAGGAAAAGAAGCAAGCCATCCGGCTCCAAAAGGGCTGATTAAAGCAAAGCGACGAGAAATGAAATCAAACAGAAAAGGGAGAAAGCCACCATCTGCCTGCTCCAAAATCACACAGCCCGTCAGGCCTGAGGGCCGCTGCCCATGCTAAGTGCTTGGCTTTTGCTCAGAGCTGTGCTTGGACATTGTTTTCACAGCCCTTGCTTGCCAAAATCCAATGAGTGGGAAAGAGCAACCTTCTTTTTAAAACAAATTCACTGCAGGGAAGCGATGGCTCCCAGGTCTTGGACTTGCACAGCATTGGAAGGCAGGGAGGTCCGCCCAGCTGTGCCTGGACAAGCTCCTCTCAGAGCCCCCGCATAGCCTGTCGCTCTCCCGTCCCTCTCTGTCTCTAGGTGTGTCTCTCCACTCCTGTTTACCCAAAGGTGATTATTTTAGCTATTATATTTCAGTAGAATTTTAAACATAATTTCTCATTGCAACTCATAATCCCAGAAAATATACCATTGCTAAATGAAAACTGTAGCAAATGAACAAACATACTCTGAAACTTTTCAAATTCTGATCTCATAGGAAGATTCATTCTTTTCAAAAGGACTTATATTTTAACCTTTCTAAACTCAAGAATTACAATTTTAGCCTTGGAAGTGTGAACAGGACACATTTCTACTGACTGTTAGTAGTTACCATTCTGTTTTCTACTTAACAAGGGTGAAAATGTCTTCATAAAGATAAAAGGTTGTGTTACTCACCCCCAGGAGGTTCTTTGCCTCTCAAGATGAAAGACAAGAGAAGTCCAGCGCCGGCTGCAGCCAGGGTGCCCGCCAGGGCTGCAAGCACCTTCATCTCAGCTGAAAGGGAGGAGCGTGGGGACACAGAAGGCCGCTCACGGCAGCCTTTCCCGGGGCGTCGGCCTGAGCGCAGGGCTGTGCACCTCCGCTAACTCCAACCCCCTATCCTCACCAGCAAGATGTACAATCAGCAGCAGAGCTGATCGGGCCAGAGTGCCTTGATTTACCTGAAGGCGGAGGTACCTTTGTGACAGCTTGAGTCCTCCCATAGCTCACTGGTGACCTGTCTTAACCCATGGTTATGTTAAGTGTGTAAAGTTATTGAGAATGATTACTAGAAATAAATCTGTTTCCCCTAATACATCTATTTGGAACAAATCACTAATACTAAGATTTGAGCATTTATGAGAATAGTAATAAAATCCTCAATGCCTACTGGATTTCTTAGGGTATTCTTGTTATGAAGTAACTTAGAGTTAAGAATTGTTACGACAGAACAAAAGATCCCAAGTCAATAGCTTCCACTTTCTCGATCTTGTTTCTTAGTCTTAGACTTTCTGTACCTGTTGATGAGCCTGTGATCTTATTAACCAGAATATCCCCGGGGGAAGACAGCCTGGTGAACCATGGCTCCCACTGCTCAGATCTGATCCAGCCCAGTTGAGACCAGCTCACCCGAGACCAGCCCACCCCACCCAGCACACCTGAGATCAAAAGGCTGGAGACCCATTATCTATGAAACCCAGCACAGCTGAGACCAACATGGTCAAGACCAGCACAGCCAAGACCAGCATGGCTGAGACCCAGCACACGCAAGATCCAGTACACACTCGACCCAGCACGGCTGAGACCCGGCACACGCAAGATCCAGTACACACTCAACCCAGCACGGCTGAGACCCGGCACACGCAAGATCCAGTACACACTCGACCCAGCACGGCTGAGACCCGGCACACGCAAGATCCAGTACACACTCGAGACCCGGCACACGCAAGATCCAGTACACACTCGACCCAGCACGGCTGAGACCCGGCACACGCAAGATCCAGTACACACTCGACCCAGCACGGCCGAGACCGGCCCAGACAAGTCCAGTGCAGCACCTGAGCTGATCATCTGTCTGGGCCACACTCACCCATCAGTTCTGATGGGAAAAGCCCCACACATGCCCCTTCCCCAAATTACTTCTAATAATTGTTTCCTCCTACAAAATGGGAAACCCAAAAGTTTTACCACCAAGCTTCTCTCAGGCGAGGAGGACGGAGTGCCTCGCTGGGAGAACTGTGTCTGGAAACTTCTGGAATGGCTTGCTCTCCGAGGATGGAGCCCTGCTGTATAAATGGACGCTACGCTCTGGTGCCCTGGAGCTGTGGAAGGCGTGGCTCCCGCGACTAGCGAGGGGCACTCAGCGGCTCTGCGCTTGGGCTGCTCACAATCCAGGCATCACACCAGCAGCCGCCACGCCCGTCCAGCTCCTGTGCATTGGGTGAGGGGGCCTGCCAGGAAACCCCACGCACCCCGGAGCAAGGAACTGCTACGACGGGCCCACTCCCCACTCCACACTTTCCATTTTCCTCTGACTTTTCCAAGTTACATTCTGCATGAAAAGTGAGACACAAGTCCTCCTCCTTCGGCTGTGTTGGCAGCTGTCCCAGTGCGAGGCGTCTGCTGGACACCTTGGTCCACCACTGTCCTTGGACTCCTGGTCCTTAGGCCTGAAGGGAGAGCCACATGCACAGTGCTGTTGTGAGGGCTGAGGGCTGAGCGGCTCTGGGGAGGACGTCCCCGTGGGGGGGGGTCTCTGGGGAGGACGTCCCCGTGGGGGGCTCTGGGGAGGACGTCCCCGTGGGGGGGACTCTGAGGAGGACGTCCCCGTGGGGGACTCTGAGGAGGACGTCCCCGTGGGGGGCTCTGGGGAGGACGTCCTCGTGGGGGGGCTCTGGGGAGGACGTCCCCGTGGGGGACTCTGAGGAGGACGTCCCCGTGGGGGGGGGCTCTGAGGAGGACGTCCCCGTGGGGGACTCTGAGGAGGACGTCCCCGTGGGGGGGCTCTGGGGAGGACGTCCCCGTGGGGGACTCTGAGGAGGATGTCCCCGTGGGGGGGGCTCTGAGGAGGACGTCCCCGTGGGGGGCTCTGGGTGATGAACATCCCCGTGGGGGGCTCTGGGGAGGACGTCCCCGTGGGGGGGGACTCTGGGGAGGACGACCCCGTGGGGGGGCTCTGGGGAGGACGTCCCCGTGGGGAGGGCTCTGAGGAGGACGTCCCCGTGGGGGGCTCTGAGGAGGACGTCCCCGTGGGGGGGCTCTGAGGAGGACGTCCCCGTGGGGGGCTCTGAGGAGGACGTCCCCGTGGGGGGCTCTGAGGAGGACGTCCCCGTGGGGGGGGCTCTG